TTAACACTTATTTACTGGAACCGAGGGAAACAGTATGTTTTGTGGTCCCGAGACCGCTGATGTTTCCCGAAGCGAAGCTGAGGGAAACATCAGCGGTCGAGGGACCGCAAAACATACTGTTTCCCGAGGTTTCCAGTAAATAAGTGCTTTATTATCATATCAAGTGTCAAAGAGAGCAAAAAACGTAAATAAATGAAGTGTTTTTATTAAAGATTTTGATAAAATGACTGAAAAATGGCAATACAAATAGTCAAATGTCACTAAAATCAATCAATGTAATAACACAATGAATACAATAACTATTTGTAGACGAAATTAAATGTTTCAAAACAATTTTGGAATTCACCGTCCGTAAATGTGGCATTTTCACGACATTGAAGAGTGTTTTTCTGCGATTTTGTACTTATTGACGGTCCACAACATATTATTGACCGCTGGTGGACAGTTGCCGGGAAACAGTAAAATTTTGTGACTTTCACGTGGTACACTCTATATCTCGACCAATAAGATACTAGGAAAAGTGAACTTTGACACTTGATATATAATAAAGAAACTTAAAGCCGGGGAGGGATTTTTTCATTCAGCAGGGAAATCAATCTCGTACCCCGAGCCTTCGTTTTTCTTGGCCAGCGCCTCGACAAACACTAGACTGGGATAACGGAATTTTTACTACGGATTTCTGTCTTCCGGTTTCCACTGCGCATGACTCGTTATCAAACGGCTTCAATCTCGTACCCAGCGCCCTTGTCCCTCTTACTGCGCATGCTCGAGCCTGTGAGCCTGCGAGTAAGAGGGACAGTGGCGCTGGGTACGAGATTGAAGCGGCTTTACATCGAATTTTCTCGAGAAAATCACTTTAAAGAAAGTCAAAACAGGAACATACAGTATCCCAAGTAATTGATCTTCCTTCGACAAAGTAAATTCGGTTAGATTATGGTCTGATCATGTAAAATTTTGGAATGTTTTCCGATCGCGACGGTTGGTCAGTCGGCGCGAGAGTTCGTCGCGGCTAAATTTTACTGCATTACGATAATGCATTTATTGATCTTGTTCATCCCAATTTCCTGCTTGAATGACTTAATAATTCATTTTAAAGCAAGAATCTAAGGTACATTGTCGAGATAAAACATGAATTTGCATGTTTTCCTTGGTGTAATTTCACTTCCGGCGGCATTTGTTTCAATTTCAAGAACCAATCAAAATTCGCAAAAAATTGCGATACCCCAGAGTCTTACGTTTTCGGCGCTGGCCAAGAGAACGCATACCATATATTTGTCAGCCAATATAATTCTTTTGAAAACTAAGTGTCTCAAGTCTAAAGTCTGCATTTTTACGGCACCCGGGAACGATCGAGCTTCAAAATACTAGATATCCGGGTTTTTTAAATTCCATCGAAATTAGAAAAGAGTAAATTTTAGACTTACGGATATCTATGTATTTTGACAACTGTTCCCGTCAGTTTGTCACGCGTGACGTTCGAAATTATTTTAACTGACTCGAAGTGTCCATTTCCGGTATTCCGAGACTCNAATCCAACGGAACGACTTCTAAACCTACTACCGCTGGCATAAATCCTAGTACAACCAAAGACAAGAAAATGACAAGGCCACTATCAGCACCTCTTTCTAAAGCAGCACCCAACACCACAACAAAGTCTCAAAGTGCAAGACCATCAACAGCAAGACAACCGGAAAAGGCTGGCGGCAAAGCGCCTTCAGTTGTGAAGTCTTCTCGCGATTCAGTATCAAAACCCAGCTCTAAAACAACAGCCAGACCCACAGTAAAACAAACAACAGCGCCATTAAATGGTAAAGCTAGACCAGCTAGTGCTCTGTCAACTAAACAAAAGCCACCTACAGGCTCCACAAGGCCAAAACGTGAGTCTAAAGGAAATGCTAAAAATCYTGTGTCCTTAAAAGATGTTAAGCCTGTTCCTAAAGCAGAGACATCCGCTGATTCGGAAAAYGTGGAGAAGTCGTGTGATCCACAATCCAAAGTYASTRACATAGAATCTGGTGTAGGCAACAATGTTGGCGAAAAAAGTGAAACTGTAACATAAACTGTAAAGAGCAACGAGTTTCTGCAGAACTCCTTTTTTTAGAAAGGGATTTAAATTTCGTGCATGCGTCAAAGACTGGCAGCTAATATTATTCAAGGTTCTGAAACCAACTAGAATACAGTATTTTCTAAATAATAGGACTTTTATTAAGTCTTCTTAAAAGAAGTAGCGCCGAGATAGTATAACAATGTCGTCATAAAATAAAGCACAAAAAATGTACGAAATTCATAAATTAAATTTTTCAATGTGTTGGTATAATAAAATATTTGTTTAACTAGAACTACTTTAGTTGTCAGTTAATAACCTTGGTACATCAGCTACGATGCAATTCAATATACGTTGAAGGGCTCCAGTGTAGAGTGAACGCACTTAATCCTTGAACTGATTTAGCTAGATTTTTATACTTTTTGTGAAATTTAGTAAATAGATTCATAAAGAACTATGGTGATCTTCAAAGGATTTGCACGGCAGCTTTAATACAAATTTATGGTATTTTGATTTTGTACATTTCACGGATTAATGCGTTCACTCCAGCCGTCCATATTTCCTATCTTTTTCAAGTCTTTCAATATTTTTTTGATTGTCACACATTTCACTATAATTTTTATGAAAAAGTATTATTTGTGACAAATTAAAACCTGATTGAATSTAATTCAGGATTGGTCAAAGATAAACATTTTTAAATGTTAAAACATACAATTTGAGTAGTTCTTATATGTAACACATGCATTCCAAGGCTTAAGATTGTGTTCCCGATCAATGCGTATAGCACACGAGGAAAATTAGGCATTAATTATATGTATCATTGTGAAATGATAGGAAAGCATTGTTGGCGGTTTGACTTTCGAGCGATTTGTTGGCTCCTAGACATGCCTAGAGTAGAGGAGCCGTTTAATTTGTTTGTTGTTGTTGTTGTTTTTTTTGTTTTTTTTTGACGAGTTTAGCTCTTCTTTTCGGCCTTCTTTGGCAGTAAATCAGCCTGGATGTTGGGTAGGATGCCTCCTTGAGCGTTGGTGACGCCTCCCAGCAGTTTGTTGAGCTCTTCGTCGTTTCTTATGGCCAGCTGTAAGTGACGGGGGATGATTCGAGTCTTCTTGTTGTCTCGAGCGACGTTGCCGGCCAGCTCGAGGATTTCGGCACTCAAGTACTCCAGGACAGCAGCCAGTCCGGACCACCAGCGCCTATTCGCTGAGCGTAATTTCCCTTGCGTAAATGAGGATGTATGCGTCCGATGGGGAAATTCAAAAATTCCCCTCTGTGCGACATCTCACGTTACAGCGACTGACAGGGTGGACCGTGAGAGGTTAAAAATTTGCATATGCACATGTCAGTACTCAGTGTAAATGGATAGCTGTTATTACAAAATGCTTGATGGTGGTCATTCGCTTTCGAAAGCTACACCTTCATTGTGTGTAAATTTCCGCATACCATATATAGCCTATAATGGCAATATAATTCTTTTGAAAACTAAGTGTCTCAAGTCTCAAGTCTGCATTTTTACGGCACCCGGGAACGATCGAGTTTCAAAATACTAGATATCCGGGTTTTTTTAATTCCATCGAAATTAGAAAAGAGTAAATTTTAGACTTACGGATATCTATGTATTTTGACAACTGTTCCCGTCAGTTTGTCRCGCGTGACGTTCGAAATTATTTTAACTGAATCGAAGTGTCCATTTCCGGTATTCCGAGACTCGACAAATGAGTATCACTCAAATGTTCAAGGTCTATAACAAGCGCCTTTTTGTTTTAAATCAGGCCAGGAGTCTTTTAAACCTTAAAAGTAATTATTAAATCTTTAAAATTTCGATGAAATTAAAAACTCCCGGGTATATTTTGGAATTCGTTCCCGGGTGCCGGGTATCCAGCACTTCCTCTTTGTGGCATTATTTCAAGAGTCGTCTAAGATGGCGAACCGCTTTCGGCAATTTCGCCTTCTCCTTTGGAAGAATTTCATCCTACAGGTAAGCTAATGCGTGGGTCATTTGAAAATTTCTCCAGCCTTAATCAAGACTCAGTTTAGCGTAGATTTCGCCTGTTTGTGGTCCCTATTATTATGTAATTGAAGACCGGCGAAAATCGTCGTTAAAAGACCTTAAAATGAGAAATCTACGCACTTTGCCG